AGTTTTGTTTTCCTTTACTACAGTCATTTACAAGAAATGGGTCAAGTTAAGTTTCACTCATGTTTGCAAATCAAGAAGGGTTAACGTCTTTGATGATGAGGTTGAACAGGCTTTGTGTGCTCAGACAGACATGAGGCCAGAGTAAACACTGGTCTCACGTAGCCCAGACAGGATTCAGACTCACCATGTAGCTAAGGATGCCTTTGAACTTCTAATCCTCCTTACTCTATGACTGGGATTACAAGTGTGTGCCACCATACCATCTTGTGTGGTACTGGACCTCATACCCACTACTCAAGAACTCTATCTACTACATGAACTACATCCCCAGACCAGAATTTCTGAACAACTCTTTTTAGATTACCTACCTTTCTTACTCATTTTCAATCATCTTGTTGCCATCAGAACAAAACCAAGCTTGGTTCCTCTCCTTTGCTGCCAACCACTGAGTGCCATTGGCTGCTAAACACACTGTGTCTAGCTGCCTTGACCTTCTGAAGGCACATCTGTGGTGCAGGATGGAGGGTCATTCTTCCACACTGTGTGATGACATGTTACTCTAATTGTTTTTTATCAATAAAAACTCAGGAGTCAGATATTGGAGTAAGAGCCTGAAAGATCAGAGAAGCAGAGACACCATCAGTCCTATCTACTTGCTCAGGTTCTTCCTCCAAACAGAGAGCCCAATCCCTTCCTGTCCCGCCTTACTACTTCCTGTCCTACCTGTCCTCCATCTTCCAAACGTCTACAGTTAATTTAGATCAGCTGGTGGCTAACTCCGTCCTCTGGGTCCAATCAAGCTTTATTTGTCAGAACACGATCAACTATCACACAACAATGTGAAGAATGCCTATTTGTCTTCTTGTCACCTTCCCTTGGAGACACAATAGACACCTTCAGCTTCTTGTTGAAACTGACCTCCACACCAGCTCCCTCTTCATTTTGCCAGTTTAGAAGGTTGTAACTCTAGTCTTCTGGTTGATCAGCCCTCATTTTTAGCTTCCTTTCATGGCCCATGAGGGTAACACTGAGTGGGAGTGTGCTTGACTAACATGTGAAAGCCCTAGGCCCATCCTCACACAACACAAAAACCAATCACTCAGTCACACAAATGAGAAGTAGCTGGGTATGATGGCACACAACTATAATTCCAGTGCTGAGGAAGCTGAGGCAGGAGGATTGTGAGTCCAAGACCATCTTGGCTATTTATCAAGAGCATCTCAAAATCAAAGCCAAAATCTAAAAATAGATTAATCCAGTCTCCCCCAAATCTGTCACTGGCTTCCCAACAAATATGAAGGGAAACCCAAAATCTTTACGAGGTCTCCAGGCTCAACATTATCTATTTTGTCTGTCTTATTTCTCTTCTTTTTGCTCCACCCTCCCCCGGCATCCGTAGTTGCTGCCTTGTTCCCATAAAACCCCATGCCTGCTCACCTCTGGGCCACAGCATATGCTATTTCCTTGTCCAGGATAGCATTTTGCCCACATTCCACGAGGCTTACTTCCTTGCTGGCTCAAATGTCTTTGCAGGGACGCCTCCACTGGTCACCTGACTCGGATAGTATTCTCTCCACGCGGAAACCGAGCTAGAGGTTGGCACCCAAGGTATTATTAGAGTTTAACACCTGTAAAGGGGAGGGTACTAGCAAGATTAGGTAGGAATAGGCCTGAGTAACATAGGGCTGGCGAAGCCCTGCTCTTGCCAAGAGAGAGCTCTGGAGCCCAGTGTTGACTAGCAACGTGCCCAGAAGCATCAAGTCTGTGGGTTCCTGTCTCCCTTAGCTGTAAAATGCAAGGTGCTTTGTAAAGGGGATGGTTGCCCCCTGGGGCTTTTCAGTAGCTGGGGCATATCCTGAAGCCCCTGAAGGCCACACTGCCTCCATGAAGGTGGATCTGTGCAGGTGTCTTTGTATTCTCCGCCTCCATGAAGGTGGATCTGTGCAGGTGTCTTTGTATTCTCCATCCCTAGTTAGAACTGTAACACCCCTATAGTCCAAGTTACCCCTCACTGCTTTATTTTCCTCATCACAGCCAACATTTTCCAATATAGAATATGATTTATTTCACATATTATTCATTTCCTTCAGTGGCATGTCAGACCCTTCTCTCTTCTTCAGTCTCTGCCACTCTGATAGTAGTGCAGCTGGAACTCTGTGTTTTATGACACTAATCTTGGGAAAACATGAACAAGTGTTTACGTACCCCAGATAGGGAACTGACAATAGACCAAAATATGGACGCCGCTAATTTCCGATTTGGTGAAACCAGTGAGTTTTATTGGGGTTACTCACAAGGAAACATGGGTGAGGAGTTACTGACAGGAGCAGAGATGACTCAAAGGACAGTTCTATCACCCAAAGCTCACTTGAGCATAAGTGACAGCTCCTGAAAGCTGGAAAGAAACCTGGAGCACACCGCACAACCTGTGGGCAGCTTGGAGTGTCCTCCTTAGGTAAGTTACTTGATAGATAGGAATTGTAGAAGAAGTAGCGGGCCGCTTCTTGCCGCCCGGCTCCTGGCCGCTTTACCCAAAATAATTACACACAAATTGTATTCATTTAAACACTGCCTCTTATTGGCTAACTCTCACATCCTGATTAACTCATTTCTATTCATGTGTGTAGCACCACAAAGTGGTGGCTTACTGGGAAGATTCTAACCTGCGTCCATCTTGGAGAGGAGAGCTATGGCGTCTGACTCTGCTTTCTTTCTCCCAGCATTCTGTTCTGTCTTCCCTGCCTACCTATGTTCTGACCTATCAGGCCAAGCAGTTTTCTTTATTAATTAACCAATGAAACAACAGATAGATAGAAGACCCACCTACATCAGGAAACTCTTCCCAGGAGTTCAGCTGCTCTCTGCATCTTCTAGGCCCCACCTTGACTGATTTCTATTTTTTCACAGCAGCTAGGCTAGGCGCTGCTCCTCTGAGGCAGGTCAGCATGTCTGAAAGTCATCTGAGTAGCTGAGTGCCTCTCAGCTGTCTTTACTGCTTCTGTATGCTTAGGGAAGGGCCTAGAGAATCTGGTTAGTTTCAGGGACTTCCTCAAGCTACTTTGAGTTGTTTACTTTGGGAGCTCAAAGAACTTGCCTACCTACTACATAGGTGTACCCATAGGACACCCTGTCTTACATCCCTGTAAATATCTCGTCTTACTCAGAGTCCCTGGCAGATGGATGCTTTTTACCTCAGAGGAAACTGCCATCCCACACTCAGGTCCTTATACACGCTAAGTAAGCATTCTCCTGAAAGACCCCCAGTGTGGGGAGACTCTCACTCAAGTCTCGGGATAACACGACCCCCTCCAGTAACTCACGAGAGACCTCCTTGCTGCAATCACACGAGGTTTAATCGACAAGATGGGAACCAGTGCACTGGGGCCGAGACTCATAACCCATGCAGGGGAAGAGTTGGACCCTGAGTGACCCGGAGAAGGGGTTTTTATAGGAAGAAACCACAGTAATCCGAAAGGGGCAGGGTGGGTGTCACAGAAAATTCCGAAAATACCAGTGATGATCACCCTGCCTCTCAAGGTCATAATCAGGTAGTTCCTGAAACACAGTATTCCCAAAATACCAATGATAATCACAAGGGGGGAAACTCCCTGTTTCTCAATATTAGTCTCAAGATTACAATCTAACTTTATCTTCAGCTAGTTCCTGAAACTGAACTGGCTAATTCTAGATTTCTGATTCTTTTCTCCCTGCTTAGATTTTTGGCTCTATTTTTTCCTGCTGGGGGGGGCAGAGTCTGGATTTATCCAGGTCTTTCACTCCCACTGAATTAGTTATCCCCCCCCCCCCCCCCCCGCTGTGACACAGAATAAAAAGCAACTGAAGGAAGGGAAGGATTACTTGGCTTCTGGTTTGTGAGCCCACAGCCTAGTTCTAGTGCGGTACTTCGGTTTATGGACCTTTAAACTTACTATCTGTGTCCTCCAGCCAAAACCCACTAGGAATACGCATGGGATCTCTGTGAGTTCGAGACCATCCTGGTCTATAAGAGCTAGTTCCAGGACAGGCTCCAAAACCACAGAGAAACCCTGTCTCGAAAAACAAAACAAACAAAAACAAAAACAAAACAACAACAAAAAAACCCAAATGAGGTTGGCAGAAGGTGCCTCATGGTAAGGGAGTCATTGGGCATCTGGGTAAAAGGGAGTCAGAAAAGGGCAACGGTAGGATGGATACAGGTCGCTGTTAGATTTGGGGAAGGTTTAAGGAAAGAGAGTTTTCCTCTGAACAGGAAGTTGGCAGGAAGGGGGACGGGGCACAACATTGTTTATTCTCACATCTTAACTAGATGGATCAAGACTATCTGAAGGAGAAAGCTGTAATTGGAGGAAAAGTAGTCATCACCTTCTCCCGGACAGGAGTGTCCAGCACTGTATTCGCACAGCGTTAATGGTCATCAAGCAGAATTATGCTATATCTGTCTTTAACCGGCACATGCCATGAGCACTCAGATGATGGTATCAGGCCCAGCACCCAGGTTCGGGCTGCTTGGTTTTTCTCATAGCTATGGCACGTTAAGCCGAGTGGTCTTTGGGTGGTTCAGTTTTGAGACAAAAACACTCATTAACTCCAGTACTGAGTTAATCCGTGTAAAGAAACCGGGATGCGTTCACCATCCAATGCCATGTACAGCAGCTCAAATATTCTAAGATGCACCAATTTCTCGCTTTTTAACATGCCTACAAACGGGGTGTGTCTGACTTTCAAACAATGGCTTCATAGGATAGAAGCAGCGTGGTGTTGATTGAGGGGCAGGTGCCTAAGCTCTGCTACTGCTCAGCTGAATCTGTTTCCGGGAGAATGATTTGGCTTTTTAACCTTCGTCAAAGTCCTGGCTTTTCTGGGGTTCCCGCCCAGGTCACAGAACTACGTCTGCGCGGCTTTCCCAGGCAATACGGGAAGCTGCGGCGGCGCTCGCGAGCTTACGGCGGCGTGGCGCACACGCGGCCCGGTTGCCCCCAGCAACCGGCGCGTCCCCGCCCGGCGGTCAGCTGATGGGCCGCCCGCGGGGGAGGCCGCGGCGCGAACATGGCGGCCGAGATCCACTCCAGGCCGCAGAGCAGCCGCCCGGTGCTGCTGAGCAAGATCGAGGGCCACCAGGACGCCGTCACGGCCGCGCTGCTCATCCCCAAGGAGGACGGCGTGATCACCGCTAGCGAGGACAGGTAGGGTCCGGGAGCGCGCGGGGGCCAGGGCGCGAGGTGGGGGCGGCCACGAGGCGTGGGGACCGTGGGGTTCCGCGGCTCTGCCACCCCTCCTGTGGTCACCCCGGGCCGAGCGGCCACCGGGGTCTCCCGCGTCTCTGCAGTCCGCCGAGAACCCGGTGCCGCCAGGCGGTTCTGTCTTACTCCTCCAGTCCGGGGACCGCTCCCCCGCCGCGCACCTTTACTCCTGGGAACCCCAAACATGCTCCTTCAGCCCGGACCTGCCTCTAGCGCTCTTTCAGTCTAGGACCTGGTTCCACAGCGGCCCCCTCTGTCACGGGACCCCGACCCACAGAACCTTTCCATCCCGGGACCCCGACCTACAGCACCCCTAGGGCCACTGTCCACCCCCACAGCTCTTCTCTAGTCGGATCTGTCTCACTGTTCCCCTCCAGCCCGGGAGGGACCTGAGCCCCAGGGCCCATCCAGCTCATCGCCCCTCCATCCTGGGACCCCGCCTCACAGGGCCTCTCCAGCCCAAGAGTTCAGACCCCTCCAGAATGCTCCTCTTTGCTCCCCCTACCAGGCCTCCCGTCCTGTCTTCCCAGTGCGCCCCTGCAACTCCGGGACGCCAGTGGTCATGGTCTTCTAGCCCAGCCTTTGCTCCACTCGCCACCCCCCTGCCGCCCAAACCCTGTCCCTTGGTGCTGCTCCAACCTCAGACCTTTGCCTCCTGCGTCTTCCTGATGGGAGGTTCACCGGGTGCTTCAGAGTTTCTGGATTCTCCTGGGCCCGGTCCAAGTCCCAGAGCTCTAGTGGCTGATTACATTGGAACCTGGTGCGGGTGTTTATTTCTTAAACGAACTCCCGGGACCAACTTCCAGTTTGTTTGGAGTTGAGGTTGGTGGTGGTGGTGGTGGTGGTGGTGGGGGGGGATTACCATTTAATGTTCTTTTTAACCTCAGCTGCTAGAACTATTTGAACCCATAATTGACCAAATAGTTTTCAGTTTTTAAATAAAAACTATTCATTCTTTAAAAAGAAGACACACTTATTTTAAAAGGAAAATGTATTTACAAGTAATATTACTGACGAGTGATTTATCTCCAAAAGTAAGAAATAATATCATTTATCATAGGGCTAAAACAATCTGTGTTACCAGCGTTCCTGCGTTTTGCCGGTCACCCTACTTTGGAAAAGATTCATTTGCTCTAGTGATTTCATTTTATCCAAGAGGGAACTGAAGCCCCAGAGGTGTAACTAGTTTCTCCGAGTCAAGGAGAAGCAGAGGAAGCCAGGAATGGAACCCAGGGCTTGTCTTCTGGCCTCAGGTGTTCAGGGTACTGTCAAGTGCCTGGAGAAATCGCCCTTGCTTTACAAGTGTAGCAAGTTTGGAACCTGAAAGGTTTAAACCACAGTTGAGGGAACCGGTTTCCATAGTCTTAAGCAGCGATGGACCCAAACTGGAAGGGCTTTGGCGAGAATATTTTCCTGTTCTCTGAAAGCTGGAGGCAGGGGCCAGCCTTTTGTCCTTACACCTTTAGAAGTGAGTGAATTTGAGGGCCTGCTCTGAAAGGGAAAAGGAAACTTGATGCCCCTAGCTCCTACTGGACCTTTCTGTTTGGCTTTTGAATGAGCTTAGTTAGGGCTTTCCCGCAGGCAGTGAGAGAATTTTCCCTCCAGTGTGCTTGCAGCTGACCTCAAACGAGGTGGTGCGCGGGACTGACTGGTAGGATCCCGTGAAACAGAAATGGTGTCGGGAGAGTGGGAACATGGGGTGAGAGAGAAGGGGATGTACAAGGCAAAGGGCAGAATAATGGTATTTCCATGATACGAACAGGAGTGCAGACAACAGTTTATTAAAGTCAGCAGGCTTTATTCAGTAAAATATTTTATTTGTGACTCATGCATGTTGGGTAAATTGCCGAATATCTGAGATTACTTGGGTAGGAACGGTGCTAATAAAGATTTTATGGAAAGTGATTACTAAGCTCCTCTGGGACTCAGATGTTCAGAGGAGTCTTGATCAGCTCATTTTTTTTTTTTAACCTCCTGCTCAGCTGCCCTGCAGGATTCAGGCAAATGACTAGACCACCAAGGAGCTGGCTTGCTACTGAAGGTTTCTGATGTGTATGTTAAGCCATTTTGTAGGTACCACAATTCATTCCTTCCTTCCATTCAGGAATACTGTGTCTAAGTCCTGGGGATAAGAGAAGGATCAAAAGCCACAGTGCCTATACTCATATAACTTCTGATTTATTGCTCTTTATGGCCCTTGACTCATAGAAGTCCAGTTTACGTATGTCTAAGGACTTAGAATCTTGGCTTCCCGTATTCATCTAAGAATACGTCAGACATGCCTGTTCATTTGTCTCTACCGTAACTGTAAAGTCAGCTGACATTAAAATAGCTCTTTCCAAGTGCCGAGTGGCTTACTGAGGACGTGGCCCTTCGTACTCCGCTCCCCAGATGCTGGAGACGTAGAAGGAGGAAACTTGGCCTGGGTTCAAGAACCATCCTTAGGAGAGGGCCTCATGGATGAAGGAGTGGTTTGTGAAGGGAGGATGCATATCCTGGTCCCCAGCAGGGCCAAAGGACAGAAGGGAGTGGGAAGTGGGAGTGAGATGTTTTAAAGTGACCAGAGCAGAAGGTGTATGGGAGGCCATGGCAGGAAAGTGCTGTGTCCAGTTTGGGAAAAGAATTTTGGTGTGACTCCTAGGAACTGGATTTTATTTGCATGCAGGGACAAACTCTAAAGTGGAGTTCAAAACAAGCAAATTGCGTGATTGAGATTTTTTTCTTTCAAAATGGCAATAGTTAACCTTTAGAAAGTCCCTTCTATACAATGCAAAATTGGGCTGTGTTTGTGTGTGGGTGTGTGTATCATCAACCCAAGCTCATATTCCCCATGAGAACAGTGCAGTCCATTTCTCTGATCAGCAGTTCCAAAACTCAATACCCTTTCAAAGTCAGAAGTGCCTGTGTATGGAAGTTTTCTCAAAGCACATTCGCTTGCAATCTTTCTTTATCCCATGCAGTGTGAGTATTTGTCTGTTTTACTGCTTAAGCAGCAGAGGTAAGGATGCTTTGTCAGGTCCTGCCAAGGGTATTCTGGAACGTAAGGTAATAGAACATACCATATTCTGATGGCCATTTGACAGACAGGTCAGAAAACCGAGGCACCAGCCACACTTAAGTAATCACCGAGACGGCAAAGCTACTGAGTAATGGGGCTGAGACCTGAATCCAGTTCTGCCCCTTCCAGCCCAAGTTCTTCCTGTAATCCACCTCTGTGCATTAGAAGAAACCAAGTCTAGGCTGTATCAGTCAGCCATGTACTACATCAGCAGCAAATGCAAAAGGACAGGATTTACCTTTTGCCTTGATCAGTAAGCCTTCCTTTTTACTACTTTTCAGGATTTAAAAAAAAAAAAAAAAAACGGCTTATACCTTTTTTTTTTTTTTTTTTTGAGTTTTTTTCGAGACAGGGTTTTTCTGTAGTTTTTGGTGCCTGTCCTGGAACTAGCTCTTGTAGAATAGGCTGGCCTCGAACTCACAGAGATCCGCCTGCCTCTGCCTCCCGAGTGCTGGGATTAAAGGCGTGCGCCACCACCGCCCGGCTGGCTTATACCTTTTTAGCGCAAATTTGCAACTTGTGCCTTAATGCTCACAAAGTAACGTTGTATAGGCCTTTGTGTGGTATCTATTAGTGTGTGTAAATAATGCGTGCATAAGCGTGCATGAATGCATGTCACCATGTGCCTGTGGCAGACAGGCTGAGCTTTCTCAACACCCGGTTTTTACTCAGGAGTTCCTGTAACCCATGCTAGGCTTGAATATACTGTGCAGCTCAGCGTGGTCTTGAACTCCTAATTCTCCTGCCTCCACCCCTTATTGCTAGGGCTGTGGTCATGTATTTTTTTATTTTTGAGACAGGGCCCCACTGCATAGCTCAGGCTGGCCCAGAACAGCCCCCCCCCACCCCCTGAGTACAGGGATTGTAGGTGTGTACTGCCACAAATCTGCTTAGGAAAGTAACTTTGAATATTTATAGCAGGATCCAGCTGAAGTTAATTTATTACATAAAGGCCACAGAGAATGAGGATGTCCTGAAAGGAAAAGCTAAAGAATCAAGGGGCTTCCTAAAGTCAGGGCCCACTTTTCCAAAGTCTGTGCCAGAGTTCCACCATCAGTGCTGGCCCCCAGGGAACATTGGAAACTGTCTGTATTCACTTTGGGTTGCAGGGCAAAAGATACTGTGGTATATGGGGCTGTGCCAGGCCCACAGCTCAGCATCCTTCAATGCCAGGGTGACTGCTCAACATCCTGTGGTACACAAGAGCCCAGTCACAAGTCTTTCTGCTCTAGAAAGAGTGGCTCTCAAACTTGAGTGTTTGCTGGAATCACTTGGAGCTCTTGTGAACCAGTGACTCCTGGGCCTCACCCTTGGAGATTCTGATGAGGAAGTTGACCTGGTGGGTGTGGGGGCCGGAGAGAGCTAGCATTTCTGGCAAGTCTCTGAGGGATGCTGCTAATCCAAGGACCACACTCAAAGCACTCGTGCCATGCAAGAAAGGGGGGTTATGCATCAGTCATCAGAGAAGAATGCACTTTACCCCCCCCCTTTAAAAATTGTTTTTAAATTTTGTGTAAGTGTGGATCTGTTCACTGGGCACAGGTGCCCTTGCAGCTCAGAAGACAGTGCTGGAATCCATGCTGCCGGAGCTACTCTGGGAACCAAACTCAGGTCCTTGGTGTATGCTCTTAACTGTCGAGCCATCTCCCTAGCCCTCCTCCTCTTTCTCAGCAGGGAGAGTATGTTTCTCTGGAGCTATTTTACAGATACCCATATCCTAACAAGTGCCCTGTCACTGTGACAGAACACCTGACATGGGGGCTGGAGAGATGGCTCAGAGGTTAAGAGTACTGACTGTTGAAATAAGAGCGGAACCCGGCCACCCGCAAGGCTAGCTTTATACATACCAGAAATAATTACACAGAAACTGTATTCTTTTAAACAA